TTGTTCAGGTCACCAGAGCTGCTGTGAACTCATCTGTTCAACAGCCATTACATGTCCAGCCATCAGCAATTCACAACTCTCTGCCCACCCACAAGCTCGCACACTCTTTCGGTCCCCTCTTCCATGATGCTCCCCGTTTCCCACCTGGATCACCCTCTTGCATGCTGCTTGACTCTTTCTCTTCCCCAGACTTGATCCTGTTACTTGATTATCTGCAGGATGAAGGACCCCAGGCTTCAAGAGCTGAAGAAGTCCATGGGGTGACTTATGCTGAGCTGGATACCAGAGTCAAGAAAGAAGACCCTCCCAGCCAGACCAAACAGCCTGATGTCTCCTGCCTGTACTCGGTGGTGAAGAAGAAGCTTGAGCCCTAAGGGGAGGCACCTGACCAGGAAGCAGGGGTGGGCAGAAGCCTCTCTGGGGATCCCTTTCTTTAAATCCCCAATGAAGACTTACTTCCTTCTTGTTAAAAATATATTTACAAACTGTGTGGGGTGATGTGTGCCTTTAATCTCAGCACGTGGGAGACAGAGGCAGGCAGATCTCTGTGAGTTCAAGACCAGCCTAGTCTGTATAGCAAGTTCTAAGGCCAGCAAGGACCACACAATGAGATCCTGTTTAAAAAAATATTTGGCTGGAGAGACTGTTCAGTGGTTAAGTACACATACTGCTCTTTGAGAGGACCCAAGTTCAATTACCAGCCACACCAGGCTGCTAACAACTGTTTGTAACTCCAGCTCCTGGGGGATCCAATGCCTCGGCTTCCAAAGGTACCTCTATTCACATACACATACCTAAACACAGATACACACATGTGCACATAATTAAAAAAATTTTTTTACTTACCTACTTTTTCAAAAAGATTTATTTTTGTTTTTATTTATTTATATTTTGTCTTTTTGCTCCTTGTAGCCCCAGCTGTCCTGGAACTCGCTATGTAGACCAGGCTGGACTTGAACTCACAAAGATCCTCCTGCCTCTGCCTCCCAAGTGCTGGGATTAAAGGCATGCGCCTTTAATTATTGTGTCTGTGTATGTGTGTATGTGTGTGTGTGTACACGTGCGTGTGTGTGTGTGTGTGTGTGTGTGTGTGTGTGTATGTGGGTATGTGCATGACAGTGAAGATGTCCAAGGAGGCCAGACTAGGGCATGGGATCCCCTAGACCTAGAGTTACAGGTAGTTGTAAGCCACGCAATATGGGTGCTGGGAACTGAACTCTGGTCCTCTGCAAGAGCAATATTTACTCCTAGCTGTTGAACCATCTCTTCAGCCCCAACCTTGAACTTCTAATCCTCCCAAGTGCTGGGATTATTACCACACCCAGTTTAAGGAGTGCTAGGACTCAAACTCAAGGCATTCTAGGCAAGCAACTACCAACTGAAATTACCTTCACAGTCTAAGAAAAATTCAAGAGAGAGCATCATTTGAAGAGTTAAATGCATGAATCTTAGGGTACATTTCAAAATCATCAAAGCTCTCTAGATAGCTATGTGTGTCAGTAAGTGTTTTGTTGCTGTAATCAGAATACCCAAGATAAATTAACTAATAAAGAGAAAAGATTCGTTTTGGCTCATGGTTGCAGTTTTGGCCTGTGATTGATCGGCTCCACTGTTGGGGCCTGTGTTGAGGTATCTCATGATGGCAGAAAGAGATGGTGAAGCATGGCCAGTTTCCTCCATGGATGGGAGGAAACAGAAAGAGAGGAGCTGGGATCCCATTGTCCCCTTCAAGGGCACACTCCTTAGGGCTGTGGGCCTCCTAGAACCCATCTCCTAAAGATGCTGTTGTTGTGCCCAGTTCGCAAGACCCCAAAGACCACCAAGGAGCTGACCAATGCAAACACACAAGGGTTCTTTTATTGTTACAAGCTTAAGCTTGGGCCCACTCTGTCACCGACACAGCGGATCTCAGATGTGAGACCCCTTGCTTTGGGAGACAGAGGTTTTTATAGGTTAAGTTCAGGAAGTTCAGCGAGTAGGGGAGTAGGGGATCTCCAGCCTGGCAAGCATCTGATTGGTTGCAGCCAAGTGCCAAACCATAAACTGCTGGCTTCAGGAAATCTGAAAAGATATCTGGACTTTTAGTACCTTCCTGTCCCTGGTTGACTGACCATTGGCAGGGGAGTTGTTCTCTACCCGTTCCAAGTCTACTTTTTTTTTTGGGGGGGGGGTTTCTCCTGGAACAGGGCTCAGGTCTGGGTCAGTCCCATGGAGGTCTTATCCAAGATGGAGTCACTCATGTCTCTCACTATCATTTCTACTTCTTTAAAAATATTTTATTTATTTTTTAAAATTTTTATGTGCATGCATATACTGCCTGTGTGTGTAAGTGCACCCACGTCATGCAATGCCTGCAGAGGACAGAAAAGGCTGTTGGATCCCCTGGAACTGGAGTTACGGGCAGTTGTTAGCTGCCATGTGGGTGCTGGGATTCAAACCCAGGTCTTCTTCAAGAACAGTCAACGTTCTTAACCACTGAGCCATCTCTCCAGCCCCCCATTTCTACTTCTTAACCAGTTTCCCTCTAAGGTTTTATCAGATTAAATTGCTGCACAGTAAGCACTAATGGGACTCAGGTTATCAATAAGAAAAAAGATGGAGGATGTGGAGTCTTGAGAGAGATGGGGTAGAAGGGGGGCAGTGGAGGGAAGCGTTTGTGGATGGATGTGACCAAGTGCACTCTGTAAGTGTATGACATTTTCAAAGAATACATTAAAAATATTTTAAAAGATTTACCATCACACTCGGTACTGTGGTCCTTGGGAATCTCCTCTGCTTGATTTTGATTTGCTTCTAACCTAAGAAACACTGAAAGGAAAGGGTCCATCACTGCAGCGGCTGCTTCTGCACGGTGCTGTAATTCCTGACAGGAGCCTCCCTTTGTTAGGCTCTTGAACTGTGTGTGTTGGTGAAGCATAGCTCTGTGTGGGAGAAGGACTTCGGCCTGCAAGGAGCCAAGGCTTTCAACCTAACAGGCCTCAGAGAAGAGAAGTTTACAGATAATCTCCTAAACCTGTATTGTATAATGTAAAATTTGCCTTGTGTGAAACAAGAAATGAGCACACAGGGCTAGTACTTGTTAATTTTCTCATCACTGACTATGGTGGTTTGTTTGAGAAATGTCTCCCACAGGTTCAGGTATCTGAACACTTGGTCCCCAGTTGATGGTGCTGTTTGGGGAGGTTTAGGTGGTGCAGCCTTGATGGAGGAAGTGTGTCATGGGGGCGGAGCTTTAAGAGTTTATAGCCTCACCCCATTTCCAGTTTACTCTGCTTTGTGTTTGTAGTTCCGGGGAACTTAAGGCCTCTTCTGACCTCCTCAGGCATTGCACAACACAGGTGCATCTACCTACATGCATACAATACACTCATATACACACACAATAAAAATAAATAAAATTAACAAAAACAAACCAAAAAGAAATAGCTTTTTCATAGTTTCAAGTTAGTTCCACAAGTACAATTCCAGTTATTAGACCGTCCATCTATTTTAAAACAGGACTGTATATGTTGCTCAGTTGGTAGAGTATACTTGCAGAGCATGCAAGAAGTCCCCCTCCCCAGCCCCACACCACCACTGCATCAAACAGGTGTGGTGGTGAATGCCTCTAATCCCAGCACTCAGGAGATGGAAGCAGGAAGAACAGAAGTTCAAAGCCATCCTCAGCAACATAGCAAGTTCAAGGCCAGTCTGGGCTATATATTGAGATTCCATTTCAAAAAAACAAAACAGACAAACTAAACCACACTAAAAAAACCTAACTCACCAAACCCCAAGATCAAAAACATATGCAATCTTTATGTCCTAGTCTTACCTGTCATAGCTTTTTCTCTGAGTCCCTCGAGGGCTGGGGCTGGGGCTCAGCGGGTAGAGTGCTTGTCTAGCAAGCAAGAACCTGGGCTCTGTTCCCAATACTGCATAAACCAGGTGTGGTGGTGTACTCCTGTAATCCCTACACTCAGGAGGTAGAGGCAGGAGGATCAGAAGTTCAAGGTCATCCTCAGCTACATAGTGATTGTGAGGCCAGCCTGGGCTACATGAGATTCTGTCTCAAAAACAATGTAAAAAAAAAAAGAAAAGCCATTTGGGCTCTGTGACTCTTCCTCAGCAATGAGACCATGATCACCCTTTCTAGGACAAGTGCTACCAGCCAGTGTTCAAAGACTTCCTTGTCTGCCCTCAGATTTACAGAAACCTCAGGGAGTAAAGTGAATGCATCCCCTTAGTACAAACCAGCCTCAGTACAAACCGGGCAAGCCCAGCCTTAGGCCTTGTCCTGGTTACTTTCTGTTGTTGTGATAAAACAGTCTGACCAAAAGCAATTTGGGGAGGAGAGGGTTTGTTGCATCTTACACTCCCAAGTGATAGTTCATCATTGAGGGAAATCAGGGCAGGAGCCTGGAGGCAGGAACTGGAGCACAGACCATGGAGGAATGCTGCTTACTGGCTTGCTCTCCAGGTCTGTGCACAGCCTGCTTTCTTTTTTTCTTTTTTCTTTTTTGTTTTTTGGTCTTTTAGAAACAGGATCTCCCTGTAGCCCCAGCTGGCTTGGAACTCACTATGTAGACCGGGCTGGCCTTGAACTCACAGAGACCCACCTGCCTCTGCCTCCCAAGTGCTGGGACTACAGGAATGCACCTGGCTCAGCCTGCTTTCTTTTGCATCCCAGGACCACCTGCCCACCCACATTGGTGTGAGATCACCCACATTGGATTGAGCCCTCCCATAACACTTAATAATCAAGAAAATGCCTCACAGACATGTGCACAGGACAGTCCTATAGAGGAAACTCCCCACTAGACGTTCCTGCGTCCCAAGTGTGTCACGTTGACAGCCCAAGCTATCCTGCACAGGCCTTTAGGAAGTTATCTGTCCGATGCCAGAAACTTGACTGAGGAGGAAGAGGACAGTGTGAGTGACGTTTCTGAACGGATGTGTAGGAACATTTCGCAATGGACTGTTAGCTAGCATTTACGAATTTCCTGAAAGGGCATGTGAGAAGAAGAAACTAAGGAGCTAGCTCGGACCTGTGCCTGCCCAGACCCTGTGGTCAGGGAGACCGTGCTACCCTGATCACACTCTTACTGAAGACGGCCCCTCGGATCAGCTATGATCCCTAAGCTGCTTTCCCTCCTCTGCTTCAGTAAGTTGCTCAGGAAATCAGAAAATTGGTGAGATACTTGAATGAGGGGTGGGCAGGCAGAGCTAGAACTCACAGCACTCAGAGTCCTGAGTTTATAGGGAGAACTAGAAATCTTGCTGAGAGTATTGGACATGTTAGATCGAAACCAGGGCTCAATGTGTAGGAGAAATGGAGGAGAAAAATGAGGGCTAGGATGTATGTAGCTGTTGAAAGAGTGCGTGCCTAACACACATGAAGCCCTAGGCTCCATTGCAAACACTGTGTAAACCAGGCGTGGTGACATACACCTGTAATCCAAGCATGTGGGAGGTAGAGACAGGAAGATCAGAAGTTCAAGGCCATTTTCAGTTACACAGTTCGAGGCCAGTTTGGGCTACATGAGACTCTGTCTCAAAAAAGAAAGATGTAAAGGAAACAATATTGGGAGAGTCTATGTGCTGTTGCTAGCCAAAGCTCTGAGCCTGAAACCTGCAGTTAGTTATTTCTGAGATATGTGAGAAACCAGCTGGAGGTACCTATCACCCATCATCTATCACCCATCATCATCTATCTACCTACCTATCTACCTACCTATCTATCTCCCATCATCTACCTACCTACCTATCTACCTATCATCTATCTATCTATCTATCTATCTATCTATCTATCTATCTATCTATCATCTATGTATCTATCACCCTTTTTAGGACAAGTGCTACCAGCCAGTGTTCAATGATTGGATCTCCCTATAGCTCTAGCTGACCTGAAACTCACTATGTAAATTAGGCTGGCCTCATTCTCACAGAGATCTGCCTGCCTGTAGCTCCCGAGTGCTGGATTAAAGGCATGTACCATCACAGTCAGCTATTTTTTTTTATTTTATATGTATAAGAGTTTTATGTATGGGGCTGGAGAGATGGCTCAGCAGTTAAGAGCACTGACTGCTCTTGCAGAGGACCCGGGTTTG